CAGAGGTGTTTTCCCTACGTCTTCGGGAGCACGTCTGCTGCTGTCGGCCTTGAATAGACGGGATTGGTGGCGGCTGCTGATGCAGGAGGATTCAGTGATAATCTGCTGGATCCGATCGCTGGATCGTTAAATCTAGCAAGCGTTGAATGGGGATTCTGTAGGAGGTAGGATGAGTCTCTGCTCAGTCCCTGCTGCGTGAGCAGGGGTTAAGTGAGCCAGCAAGAGTCTTCTCTGTGTGGCCTATCTGGACGTGGGCTGTTTTCATAGCTGCATTAGGAAGGTACGTAGGGTGACATGCGGTTCTCTACCGCATGTAGAGAATGTACCGCATGTACTGCACCTCTTTCTCTGAGAATATATAAAAAAATCCCCTGCCCTGAAGGTTCACGCTTGTTCTTTCCAGCAGCAGTGGCCGTTTACGAAGTTGTATGTTTTATCATAGCCGCATCTTCTGAGCTGGCTGTTTGAAAGGGTGCTTTCTCTTCCAGCTCGGGCAGAAGGTTACACGTATGAAATAAACAACTGTCTGTTTTTTTTTTTCTACTCAGGTGTAAAACTTCTGTTGCATGGTCTTTGCTCCAACACCACAGTCAAATCTTTAGATTTGAAGGTGAGTCTGTTCGAATGAAATTAAGACAAAGAGGTGGGGAAGGAAATAGGAGCACAGGCTTAATCAGAGTTAGAAATAGACGCTCCTGGTGCAGGATTGTTCTGCAAGATGTGTACTTCTGCAGAGTTCTTGTTCTCAAGTGACTCAGTCCTTGCCTCCCTAACACCATGTCATGGCTTTCCAAAGTTACTTTGCAGCTCATCTTTGTCTGTTTTTGATCAGTTACTCTGTTTTGATAGGAAGTTATTGCCGTGTAACTTTTGTCAGTTGCTGCTTGGTCAGATGAGGCATATGTAGGCTTTTCTTCAGGTTTCCGTATTAATCAGTGAGTTACTAGTTGTTTGACTTGTGCTTCTGTAGGGTTTATCCAGCTTGCCAGTGTCTTTCAGCTAGCCTGGGGCTTGGAACTAAGCATGCACTTTCAGATGTGATGATTGCTCTACTGAGAGTGACTTTCTGTCTATTCCTCTGGCACATAGCTATTCTCTTGAATGTACAGTCTTAAACTGCATCACACCTACCTTTCTCATCTGTGCTAGTGCTAGCCGAGCCCTTTTTAATGAAGTGTGTTGAAAGGGTTCTGCTTATCTAGAATCAGCATTTTCCGACCCATCGTGGGCCATGCTGATCCTGTGCTATCCTGTGATTTTTGTGAGCTCTCAGTCATGATGCCTCACAAGACTGACAGTGCGTGCATCCACCGTTCCTCCTGGGGTCTTTCATTTTCTGGCAAGCTGACTGATGTGTGAAACAAATGTTAGCCCATCTTTGACAGACTGAAATCGGTATTACAGCTGGGGCGCACCTGGTGGTGTTTGATGGGATAGCTGGATTGGGACAGGGCATAGCCTACTGATCACCTGGGACTTCTGTTTCAGGGAAATAACCTGCGAACCGTGGGAGCTGAGGCTTTGGGAAAACTTCTTAGGCAGAACAAATCCATCAGGAGGTAAAAAATTGTGTCTACCTCTCTTTCTGTTACTCCTGCCAGATGGAGCACAACATTAGAAAAGGTGTTTTGTTGGGGGTGTTTTTTGTTGGGGTAGGAGGAATGTCAAGTGGTGCAATTTCTCGTGAGGGATGGGACAGGTGAAGGAGTGAGAACTGGAGGTGCCCTTTCTGAGGATGCATGGCCCTAGCAGCATCCTGCTCTCTGAAAATGAGTCTGTGTTAGGGGAGCTGGGTGTTCAAATGGGTACCGTGATCCAGGTATCATTCAAGCTCTTGCAACTGTCCGTTTACTCCATGAACTCCAATCCTGTCTCATTTTCCCTAGCCTAATCTTGGAATGGAACAACCTTGGCATGTGGGAGGAGGGCTTCTCCTTTTTCTGCCACGGACTGGGAGCAAACAACTTTCTCCAGCGGCTAGATCTGCGCAATAACCAGATCAACCATCAAGGGGCCGGAGAGCTGGCCATGGCACTGAAACAAAATGCTAGCCTTCAGGAGCTGGGTGAGAGTGACTAGTTCTTTGTCCACCTACATATATGCATGCACGCACACATATATCTTCAGGTTCGTTGCAGCCTGCCCTGATCTCTGCCAACTGGTCAGTGTCATTCCCGATTCCTGCCAGTCTGGAGTGCTTTGCGGGCTTTGTGCAGGGAGTAGAGGTCACAGCCCCACGGCCTTTGGAGAGTGGGAACTGTAACTGGAATCTCTGGAACCAAGCCTGCAGATGAAGATCGTGTGCTTGGAGCAGAACAGTCCTTAGTGGAGGAGGGAATGGGTTCATTCCCATTTGTGGATGCTGTCGGCATGCCTCATGCCAGACTCTGAGACTTACTTCACACATGCTTTGTCCTTCGTAAGGAGTTTTGCCAGAATTTCCTTCAGGAAAACGTGGCTCTTGGTGCCGGTTCTTTCTCATCCACAGATTGTGGTTGTGGAAGGAAGGCTCACGAGACTAAAATGTGAGGGGCAGACTTGTGTACCTTTTGAATTATAATGGCTTCCTGCACTTCACTGCACTTAAGATTCATCCTTGCCTTTCCTGCTTTGTTTGTCATTTTCCTTCCCTCTCATTCATCTTGAAAAGGGAGATAGTATTCACCTGTGTTTGTGCTGAGACCATCTGGGATTAGTTAGCCATGCTTGTAGATGTACAAGGAGCATGGTTTCTCTGGAGCGCTGTGTTTTTCAGCAGATGTGTGACTACCGGGGTGAAAGTTTGCTTTCTGTATAGATTTGCGTTGGAATAATATTGGGCTTCTGGGTGGCCGAGCTTTGCTGAACTGCCTGCACAGCAACAAGACCCTGAAGAGGCTGGAGCTGGCTGGGAACAACGTTCCTAGTGATATCCTGAAAGCTGTGGGTAAGTATTACTTGTTGCACAGGAAAGAATTGGTAACTCCTTTCCCATTTCAGCACTTGTGGGATATAGGGCACTTGTTGCTCCAGAAGGGAGCTATCCCTCCTCCCCTCCCTTTCTCAACAGCATTTACACAGTGCCCTACATCGCTTCCTCTTGTCTTTTAATGAGGGCTGGTCAGGTTGGAGGTGTCACTTTTACCAGCAAGAGGGAAAAAAAAATTTGGATTGAATTAGAGATTATGCCACGTGAACGTGGGAGAACTTGGGGCTCTAGTTTGGCTCTGAGTAGCAGCATGACCCTTGTCATTGTCCTACCCACAGTGGAGTTGAATGGCTCTGCTGTGGCCGGGGTGTTGATTACCCCATATACACTGCTCTCTTCGATTCCGCCCCACCTTATGTCTGTAAGGTGAGAGCGGTCTCTCTACGTGGGCCAGCCTGAGAAGGGCTACTGTCCTGGTGCTTCTGATAGCCAGGCATCATCCCAAGTGCTATCTCTTCCAGCAGTGCT